CTTTCTCGGGCACTTAAGACCATTTTTCAACCGTAGTTTTTAGCCCTTCTGCCCTCATATGAAAGCTCAAAGACCCAGGGAGTTGATCCTGGCAACGATTTACACAATCTCACCATTTTGGGGGCCAAACAATCTCCTTTTTTAAAAGATACTGTGGGGGCACTTTTAATGCTAATGAGCTGGTCAAAAATTCTCACTTGAATTAGTGGTCTGCACCCCTAATTGTCAATGCCATCTACATGTACATGTAGTTTTTCAGGAATGAAAAACCGTGGCACGGGTGGTGCTGAATGCCTGCAGATACAGCAGTTTATGAATCTGAATGTACTTACATGTACCCCTTCAAGTTCCAATTCCACTGTACTGGATAAGTTAAATTGTCTGCATTCAACTATCCCCTATCATTCAACCAGATGACAGGCTTCTCATAATCCCCCACATCAACAAACACTGACTGTGATGCTCTGCTCAAAGACTCTCCCTTGCACTGCTCCAACCCACCACTGGAGGCCTGACCAACCACACAGGGCCTTGCTAGACAACAATGTAACTTTGTTCTCTTTTTCTGGCCAGTACACCGGATGCCATTCTGGGGCACAACACAAACAACTGCATTCCTCTGCATGCACAGAGGAGGCCCCCCTGCAGACTGATTTCAGAAGTGAGCCCTCCTGGAGTGATGAATATTCATTAGGGCTGTTCCAGACACCCTGGATGGGGGCGCCAGTCTACACAAACACGTCGCTCATTTTACAGTTTTCAGTATTGTAGGAATATGCTGGGGGAACAACATTGACAAGGGCCCACCACATGTTCAAAATGAATTCTTGTTTACATGTACTGTATCAAAATGTTCACCATCTTAGCATACAGTAAGACCTTCCGGTATTGGTACCCAAGTGTGAGCAATTATTTTGCACTTTTTCCCACGACCTAAACCTGGGACTCTGCGCCAAAAGCACCTACATGTACACGTAATTATTGGAATACCGTTAGAGATAAACATCAGTGATAAAAGTGAGCTGATGATGGAGGTCCATAAACATGTAGAACAGAAAGACAAAATAAATGCTGACCTGACTCATGTGAGCAAAGAACACAATTTTCTGACTGTTCAACATTCTCAGATGATTTTTGCTGCAATATTTATATTTCGGTCCAGCCGTCCCATGCTCCTGGAATTCAAAGGTCCTAGGGGTCCCTCCTGCACGATAATTTATTACTTTGGGGTTCAGATGTCAGGGGCAATTTTGCTCCCTGAATGGAGATGTCGAATTCCTCACTACAATGATACATCATCGCTACAAGGAGTCAAGCACTTACATGTACATGTACATGTAGTTCAGCAGTGTCCAAAAAAAAAATGAGTCATGCCCAAAAATTTGTTTTTCTGCATGTTTGACAAAGGCATGACAGGGGGGCAACATCTTGTAACTAAGCCATAAAAAGAGGTAAGCGCGTATGCACTAGTACACTACACTGTACGTGTATATGTACACATGTACATGTACGCATGTAATACATCATACAGGTGGGGGTTGATACATGTACATTGGCAATGTATTTTCTCACCTTCAGCCCTATTCACTGTCAGCTGCATACATGTAGGCACAGGTGTCTTCAGGAAAGTGTGCTTTGAAAACTTGGGCAATATTGAACAGGATTTCACGGAAAGAGAAGCCCTCATTAACTGCATGTAGCGGTAATAAAGCAAGTCAAAGTGTCAGCAGATGGCTACAAATTTGGCAACTGGTGTGAATTCCGACTATGCATGAGACAAGGGGGATCAAAATAAAGCCCCCCCCCTCCTCCCATTTTTCCACCAAGACGTTGCAACCATGTGAATAATGCTGTGAATTTTTAGGGTTGTTAATAGCAAACAAAGTACCCAAAGGGCGCGGCGCTTGCTGTTCCTTCTCGGACAAAGTACAAAAAATAATAACCCATGAACAACCTCCCCAAAAATGGAGATTTTGAGGTTTGGAGTTACAAAATCCTGAGAAATGACGCCCTGTGCAAATGTATGAAGAGATCATAAATGTACCTTTGATCTTCGGCTAGTGCAACATTCTGTGGGCAAATAAACAGGATACTACAATATATGGACCTTGTCCAAAAAGGAAATTTTTGTGTTTTTCTCATCAAAGCAAAAACAAGTGGCCTCGGACAGCTTTTTTTTTCAACTAACGATTTGTATACATTTTTATTTGAATGCACATATGAATGACACATTTCTTACCTTGGACTCAAGACAATCCTTCTCTGCCATCCATGATTCATCAAGCATTATCTCTTTGAATGCTGTATCCTTCAACAGTTGTTTAATGTTCGAATTTACTTGAATTCTGTCACCGGATGCCGTGACTTCGATGGACGGACTCTCGGCTTCATTATCACATTGCACAATCTCATTGGCCAAATGCTGATTCTTTTCACTACTGGTATCTGTCTTGACTTCCAGAGGAAATGCTGTTACATCGGAATGCTGGTTGGTGTCCAATTGCGGTGTATCTGGCAATTGTTGCTGTTCGGTTGGAAAGTCTACAGTTCTTGTATCTTCATTTATGTGTTCAGAGGTCACTTGTCCAGTTCCATTTGATGGATCCCCACTAGGATCTGGTTGGCACTGTACTGGCACTGGCCCTGTATTTGGTGAATCGTGATTGGCTGGGAAGGGGTCCCATGACCCTGGTTCTGTTTCCTGATTGGCCTGGGCTATTGATTTGTCAGGCTGAGCAAAAGATGACCAGAGGTCATCCTCCTCAGCAGTAACTGTGGGAGGCAACCAAATAAAGAGTAATATGAACACAAGAGGGCGCTGTGACTGGTTAATGGTTCAGGAAGCACAGCTTGGTACAGAACTTGAAAAAAATGCCAATTGATACTGAACAACATGCTCTGGACACACCATCTGTTTGTGCATGTTGTGCACACATCCGTGCCCATGAATGACGTGATGTGTACAAAACACAAGACAGTTTCACGATATAAAGAATAACACCTTGACGTACACGTACATTTTAGCAATCACTGCATTTGTACCACCAAACTGGTACTTTCTGCACAGCATTCTCAGAGAACGGGGCCCTTCATCATCCCTCTATTTTCACTTACACTTGAGGGATGACTGTCCTTAAATCTAAATACTCAGCGTGGGCTGAAGTTTTGCCAATGAATGTATGAAATACAGTTTTTACAAAGGTGACACAACTATATCGGATTTGGGCTGGAATAACATTGTGGATTCCTCAATTTACATGTAGCTGCATGCATTTGGTTTCAATGAGAATGCTACACACGATCAATTTTACATTACCTGAAACTGTCTTGAATTCTTCATCAACAAGACCAGATCTGAAAATCAAATCTGTCTCAGACATCTCACAAAAGTTATCCATGAAGCCGGCCCCAAACGCATCAGGATCTCTCCCAAATGGGTTTGCAGTTGGTTGCAGTCCCTGGCTTCGGTGAGGTCGGGTTGGACTGGGTGGATCTTGTTCTGAAGCCTCTCTGGTGTCTAATACTGAATGGTGGGTACCTGGGTCATCTCCCCATGGTGACGCAGGAACTGTACCCTCAGGCGCATCGTCACGACTGCCGTTGGACATCCCTGGCCAATCATCAGAGGCACCATCTGTCAAAGTCCAACACGTCACGTCGGAGCTGGCCGAAATTTCCGGCTGAGTAGAATCACCGGAAAAGCCTTCTTCGTCAAATGCTGTATTTTGAGCTTTGTCGGCGAGTAGGGCTGGATGACCTTCGGTGGGTCCGCCCTGATCCGACCCTCCGGCGAATTCCCTTCCCTCGCCACAGCTGTCACCGTTGGATCCAGCCTGGTGGGGCAAAGGGTCGCCGTCGGTCCAGGGTGTTAAGGTCTGCTTGTTCAGCTTCTTGGGTACAACATCCATTGCTGAACTGCTAATAAATTCACTTCTGTACTTCTCTCTTGTTGGGTGCTGCTGTGGGTATGTTTACCTGCGAAGCAGATGACAAGTTTATTGAGAGTTGTCAACAAACATCCTCTTGGCAGGGATCAGGTGCACACACCATATTTTAAGAAAGCTCTACCCAGAGATAGAGTACAGTGCACATATGTGCCGCTATCTCTTTCCATTAGACCCACAATCAGAAGTTGTTCATTTCAACCAGGTATCTATTTTTATATTTTTAATTTGCAAATTACATGTACATGTACAATTTCTACGCATTATTCTACACAAGGACCACAAAAGGCGACTGATTCATTTCTGTAGCTTCAGTTATATGCCATTAAAATCTGTTCAGTACAAACTATGCAAATTAAAATCAAATATTTGGCCACGTCATGTTGCTGAATTATCCGATATCCTGTTGATCAAACATGCTTGACACTTCAACGCTTGGACACAAAGGTGATCTGGTTTTGGATGATTTTTAGTTGTGGTAATGTTTGACAGGGTATTTACTTAAGGGTGTCATTCTCTCAATGAAAGCCTACAGCCATGACAGCTGCACAGATGGTATGGACTGCAGCAGCTGCACTTATCATGTCACTGGTTTTGGAACTAATTATTATTATTATTTTTTTTTTATTATCAGTCATAGTTATGTGATGTACCATACTTTTTGTAATTTTATTGGCACATACAAAAACGTATACATGAGGTACATATATGGCATACCAGTGTGTCACACAAAATGATAGTACCAGTAAGTGTATATTCCTTATGTTATGTATTTACAGGTATGTAATTCGTCTGTCTTGCAGATGCACTAAAGCCACAGGCCTGCATGTGTCATATTGGAATACCATTGTGATACATGTATGTACAACATTGAAAATACACTAAAAAAAAAAAATAAGAAATAATGAACATCCTTGAAATGAACACATAACACAGCGGGAGTGCGTAAGAGAAATAAAATAAACCAGGAGTTAGTTTACTTTTTCTTTGATGCATGTCTATGTGCATGTCATGCACATACATGTATTTTATAATCTTGATCCGTTATCTGAAATAGACTGCAAAACTCAGCATGGTGTACATAGTTCAAGTTTGCATCAATGCAAACAATGCAACACATTTATGCATGAAACAGGATTCCAGTTTCTGTAGTATCGGTGAACAGCACCCTGTCTAAATACACTTGCTCACGAGATATGACGCCAAGGTCTTGATCGATGTCTACAACCTTAATGGATTTATTATCTGATGACTTCTGATATCATCGAGTTGATTGAAGTCTTATGGCCAATTTTATGACAACCATGGGGAAAAGAGAGAATTACATGTATGCATAGAACGGATTGACCAAAAGCACTGAGAGAGATTTGAATTGTTCAAGGGAGGGAGAGTTGAGGGTTTGCACCTGGGGGTCATTCCCCCCCCCAAAATGGGGTTATAACAAATGAAGATCAAATAATTTGAACAAAAAATTTCCCCCCATAGTAGTGTTCACATACAGGTATTTGTTTCAGGAAAGCTGAAAAGAAAAAGGCCAGTTCACATTATAAAATTGCTATTTTGTGATGCCGATCAATATTCGACACTACGGAAATTCGCAGCTCTGCGAATTTCCGGAGTGTCTAAGGTACCTGTTATTAGTTACCAATGTGGCCCTATGCTGGGAGTGATCTCGTCAAATATCTGGACATGTACATGTGTCTCTGAAAAATGTAGACTCAAGTTGTGTATCCAACTAATTGGCTAGAACTCTGGCATCTACAAAACAAACATCTCAATTTATAGCCAAACTAATTAAAAAGAATGATGAAAATTTGTCATCAAGCAAATGACAAAACCAATACTGCACCTGACGCCTTCAACCACAACCCCCCCCCCAAAAAGAGAGTAGTCTCTTAATCTACCGGTAAGTGCTTAGCATATGGTTATTTCCAGCGAACATGGTATCTCGACTGCAGCAGTGAGGACTTTTGTGCTTTGCCTCGAAGTCTGAGAGGGGCCAGAGCATAAACCTGAAAGGTACTGAATTTTCATTTCTAACACCCTATGACTTGCTGCTACTGTAACCACTGAATGTGTCAGTCAGTCAGTCGCCCTCCTTATCCTCAGTCAAGCGTAGAGGCTTTTCACACCAGTAAAATGACTAAACTGTCAAGAATCCTTGCTCTTTTTGTTAGTCACAAAAGAACTGCTGGTGCAGGCGGTCACCTTTGATATGGTCCAATGGGTCCAGTGTACTCACAAAAACTACATGGTATTTACAATCTCTCCTGTGCCAACCTACCCTGCTGGTACATGTACATGTATGCTTGTAAATTACAGTACCTTCTGTTCACATTGCTGTTGAACTTTGATTCGTAAAAGACATCAAATTTCCTTTTCAAATATTTAGAGAGAAACGGATCCACACTTTTAGATTTCAATCGGTGCTTGGACCTTAAAAAAACTGAACCCTGCTCATTTAAAGACATGAAAAACCCACACACTGCCTTGTCCTTGCTCTGTGCTTCAACCTACCGGTAATTATTTTGTTCGGTGTCCTCATCAGCCTCTGAAATACATACATGTACACTGTACATGCAGGTCTCATGAACAAAAACATTCTGAACACTTGTGTAGGTACATGTACGTGTCCTGATGTACATGTACGTACATACATTTGTACACACATGCCTCTTGACGGCAAATGAAAATGAAAACCCCCTTTTGAAATTGAAGTACATGTGCATGTGAAGAACAACTCTGCCTTCCTTTGAGTGTTCACAGTATTCACACTATACTGTACATGTACATGTACTTCTTGATACATGTGTGTACCTGCTGCTGTCATGTCCATTCAAGTAGAGTTATCGTACATGTACATGCAGACAACTTACCCTACATTTTGTACCAATGCAATGTGTATCAAAAGCTTGGTACATTATATGGTACTGAACTGTCGGAATGGGAGCTGGTCACTGCCTGAAACTGATGATTAACTTTAGCAGAAGATTCTGTCACCTAAGCCACTTGCCAAAGGCAATCTCACTGCATTCTTTTGCCCTCAAAAACATGAAAGTCCTATCGTGGCATAGAACTGTATCCTTGTGAACTGTCATGAGGGTTTAACACTACAACGGTGATAAAAAAGGTTTACAATCAGCGAAAAAAAATGGTGATGATTAAGAGAAACACCAAGGGTTTGTTAAAACATCTACTGAGTGGGTTTCAATGGAAACTCCCGCAATAAACAGTTTACAGTGCTCCAGACTTTTCTTTGTATTCAATCAAAATTTTCCGTTGTACACAATATACACGTAGGCATATATGTACATACAGACCCAGTGCATCTATAAACCTCTTACAACGCGCAAAAAATGCATGCCACATAACAACAGATGTTCCGGTTACTGGATGGTGGCTGAATCAACCAGAAAAATTCCAAGCTACATGGCCTTGAGAATTTACAATAACAATGGAATGGAATGAGTCACACACGTACATGTACAAGTGCATCAAATTAGCAACACCCTAATTGGTGAAAAATACAAATGGAAAAGAAAATGGACTCAATTGGTACGTCTTCACGGTAAAAACAGTCATTTGAGTTCAACAACTACGATACATGTAATCTTAATCTTAAGTACAGTATGCTTTTCACTCCAACAATGCTCACACGGTTCAGGGCATTTTGGCAAGAAATTCTCCACAAAATCAATTACTTCTACTGAGGGAGAGTGTTCCACACCACGGACATCACTGGACACCCTGTGCATGAGTATTAGACTGGTCTGAAAAATTCTAACTGATTTGTCATACGTTTAAGTTGGGCCTATGTCCAGTTGCCAGGTCCTTTATTTTGCTGCTTTGAAAACCAATCCGACTTGACAATAGGCCTAAGTGGTGAAACTAGGGACCTTCGTTAAATATTTTCCCAGCTTGAATCACATCACGCAGGCATAATGACAATGTTACTCAGTCATGTTTACTGTTAAAAGTGGTTAATTTGACTTTCGTCTGATTTGGACTTTTTTTATGCATGTTATCATGGTTATTATGGTTACTACGTTCTGGCAGTAGGCCTATTATTACTTAGGCCTAGGCCCTACTTCTTCTTGAATCTAAGTCTTGCGCCAACTTCATTTGAAGATTAAAGCACATTGAACATGTTGAAACGAGAAGCAGTTACAGTTTTAGAGGTGGGAGGGAAACCCCATAGGAATATTCTGCGTAAAACCCACAGAATCAGGTAGGGACTGAAAACCCAATCCACCCGTGGACTGAGCCAGGAATCAAACCAGGACCGCAGAGGTGGACGTGGTGGAAGGCGAGGAAAGAACCATTGCGTCAACCCGATTCCCCTGCCATGCCTGCTGCTACTATACTAGCACATGGAAACACTAAATGTCAGTGTGGAATTCCTGCCATGCTTACCATGACCATGCTTACCCATAAGCGAGGCAAGTTGTCCGTGAGTAGGCCTAGTAGTACTAACTTTTTACGAAATGGGTTCAATTCATGCATGCAGTTTGTGCACATTCAAGATCTCAAGTTCTAACCGGACCACTCACTCGGTGCCACTCCAGTCCAGTCGGACTCACTGCTATTGTGCTACTCATTCGAACCACTTGCAATATCTCAGCACACAATATGTTTACTGTCATGGTGACTCCATGGAATGTCATGGGAATGTGTAATAAACAAAACCGCACGATTTAAGAAAACGTATCACACTTCAGCAGCTGCTGGCCTGAAACCAGGCCAACCGCGCAGTGCAGTCCAGTTGATCAGAACTTAAGCGGCGTTCTTCGGTACGGTGCGGAGACTGTGGAAATATTGAGGTTAACGTTAGAGGGCGCTATGCACTGTACATAAGCGACCCAATTGAAAAACGTGGAAATCAACAAACTTCAGGGCTTAATAAACTGCAAGCCAACATTACTGGACTTTCTCAAACAAAAATTAAATTAACGTGTTGACCCTAGCTTTCCCTTTTCCGATTTCATTTTTACTTAGTTGCGCAAAACAAACATACCCCTTGAAAAGTGATAATTCCCAAGCCCTCGCTCTACTTTCTGGGGCACTGAGGATTGTTTACTATCCGTCATTTTATCAGCTCTGACATCGGATGGAAGCCCAAAAACCCAGGGAGTTGATCCTGGCCCATATTTGCACAATCCCTCGATTTTGTTTCTGCCAAACGGTCTTCTTTTTCAAAAGAAACTGTGGGGGCACTTTTCACGCTTATGAGCTCTGCAGAAATTTTCATTTGAATTAGTTCACTGCTCCCATACAGATCACAAAAGCAATTAAAAGGTCTGAAGCCATCGGCGGCCATCTTACCATGCCAACTTTGAAGTGTTCTTTGGCTCACATGCCATTTGTCATTGTCATTTGCAGTAACATTGGCTATAGCCAATGTTACTGCAAATGACAATTTTCTTTATGGGTTTTTGACAAGCGAACCGTATGCAGCATGGTACTGGTGGCCTAATCTTCTGCAATCAATTTTTTGAAGACCTTCAACTTATTTTCAACTTTTGTTTCACTATTTCTCAAGGTATTTTTCCAACTTTTTGTTTTATGCTAATGACTTCCATATTCATGAGCAAAACTGTAATGTCATCTCAGGAATACACTGGTTTGTACATAAAAAGGTCCTGCATCTCGTCTGAATACAAAGTTGGAGAGGTTTGTGTAGTGCACGGCGTCTAGAAAAAAAAGGGAAAAAAATGGCTTGGAAGGTAGATGCTATTCTTCTCAACTGGATGGGGTCTAAAGGGCTACGTCTTTCATCCGTTTGCTCTAATTTCCAAGAGTCTTCAGAAGATTTGGGAAAAGAACGCTAAAGTGGTCTTGATCTGTCCATTTTGGCCGTTAATTCAGGCATGGTATACGAAACTTTTTGATTTTGCCATCGCTGAGCCCGTCCTCCTTTCCAAGAGACAGGATGTTCTTCGCCTTCTGCACAGTAAACAGGAAATTCATCCAATGTTCCCGAATTTACAGCTAGCCGCTTGGAAGCTATCAGCAACAGCTTAGAATGAATTTTGCAGTTGGTGTCGAATACGATCATGGCGTCATGGAGAAATCAGTCTAACATGAGTACACTCCGCGTGGAGAAGATGGGCTTGCTGATGTAGTTTCGAATTCATTTGAACTGTAACTGATTTGACTGAGAGAAGGTTGGCGGGTACACCATGTGGAATCTTTTCTATTAGAGTAACGGTTCTGAAAAGAACCAGCAAGAAATCAAAAAGATTTATATGTGAAATCGAGAAGAAAAATGCACCAAGTTTCCAGGAGCGACATTCCATGGTCGTTTTTATTTCTCTGGACGTGTCTCGGAAATCACCATCATGGCCCGCAGACCAGTCTCAAGATGCTGAGTTTTCTGATAAGAATGAAGGGACTGGGGTACCCTGCCTTTTTTAACTGCAGCATTGAGACCCATATCACTATAAAAAAAGACTGATATCTTCACCATTACTGCCTGCAAGGAGCAAAGATGCGTCCACTAGCTTATATACATTTGAAGCAACATATGGGAGGGAGAGAACCCCCCCCTTGTGTTGGTCTTGTTTGACCAGCATCTCAGGAATGTTTTCAGACATCTGGGGGAATGTGTTAGGTAGCAATAGTCTAGAGTGTCCATAGGGTTTGGACATGTGGGGGGTACCCCCTTCGTCCAATATCTTGCCGGGTAAAGTATTTACTTAGCTTTATCAAAACCATTGTAGATCATTGCAGATACCTTGCTTCCGAAAGAATATTGGACCATCACCTAACTATTGCTCCTGCGAAACAATAGTGTGACATCACATGCTGAGGTCTGGTTAAGGAGACAAGATGATTCAAATCCTCAAAGAATTGTCTCTCCGATTTAAACCACATCCCTCCCTCCACTATTGGTATTGCCCAGCGTACAAGAGGAACAAAATTACTGATGCTTCTAGCCATGAGATGAATTTGACCATTATTATTCAGTGTTGACTATAGTCATGTACATCTACATGTACATAAAGGCTTTACTCCAGGCACAGGCCCTGTGTGGCGGTCTCAGCTGTCTCCCGGTCTCAGCAGTCCCACTTACCAAATATGGTAAAATACGTCATGCCATCTCTGCGCACAACAACGGGAAAGTCGTCCGTTTAATGTCCGGCTATTCAGGGGGGGGGGCGCAGGGACCGGGGGACATGCAGCTGAGACCGCCACACCTGACGCAGCTCTTGGCCTGGCATGGATGAGCAACCTTTATTTATTTTCATCGTACACAATGCACAATACATCCCCATTAGTCACACACAGAGACGTACAGTCACCAGATCGCAGTGTGCACACGCTCTCTTCATTACCTCACAAATGTAAATGGATTTATATACATGTATGTAAGTTGGTATTACCGCTGCGGAAATATATTCTGGATTCAATCTATCAAGTGTTATCAATATGAATGTGCAATTTTTGTTATTTACACCACCAAAAATAAGCAAGTTTGGCAAGCAGCTGGTTTGCGGAACCATAGTCCATCGTCTCTCCAAATGAAGACCACGTTACTCTTGTAACAACCTTGGAATTTCATGAGTATACATCCAACTAACTCAGTAAACTGTTGGAAATTATTTCGTTTAGAAAAAATACAAAAATTTGAAATATTATCTTAGAAGTATGGATGGGTAAGTTTAAAGCGATTTAATCCATTCTGTAAAGTTATACACGAATTGCCATCGTTACAATTGTTTAAAAATTGTTGCCATGCCAGAACTGAAATAACAGACGATGAATTAAAACTGGAAATAAATATAAAGTAAGATTAAACTTAAATGTAAAAGCTGAAGCAAGTTTAAAAGAGGAAGAATAAAATAACACAAAAAGGCAAAAAACGATAATTAATTACAACAAATACATAACTACGTCAAAACAGAAAAGAAACTAGCAAAATAAAGTAAAATGGAACGAGCAAAATTAGTATATAAAAGAGAACATAAAATTTATTTATTTAAATAAAAATATGTAATCTCAAACAAAACTGAAACAAAAATACTATAATTCAATTTTGAAGGATTAAAAATTGCGCTTACAGTTCACTTAACTCCAGAAAGATTTTAAATACTGTTTCATACATTAAATAAAAGTTGAAATATGGACATTGTATTGTTTTCACTGTTAAGTTTAAAATTAAGTCCTATAATTACGGACAGAAAGCCAGATGCTAACCAGTTCTCCGATCGTATGAACTTCCCCTCATAATAAAGGAAATAAGCATGAAGCACCTAAATGTCCAGAGGGGGGCAGACTGGCACAGTTGCGTTACCAGGCTCTTCTTGGAGGGGGACAAATGGGAGCATGGCTGTTTTTAAGAGGGGTTCCAATTTGATTCAGGACCTAAAATAGGTTTATATTCTACAAGTAAAGTAACATGCATCAATACACTACAGATGGCGTGCCGAAAGCTCCCTCACTTAAAAAATCAAGCAATTTCCAGCATAAGGGGGGAACTCCTCCCCCCTTCCTACACCACTTGACTGGCTACCCGAGCCGGATCCTTAAAGCTCCCAAACCCAATCATACTTTCTGTCGTCGTGACCGATGGGAATACTGCCAACGAGTGACCGCGACATGTTCCTGAGGTGCGTCTCATCTTCTAGCGAATGGTACCCAAGACGCGCCATCATCTGCGGACACTCTCCCGTCTCCTCTATCTCTTTGGCCGTGTCGAACGGGAGGTTGCTGCGCCAGGCTCGATAGGCTTCGCTGGAGTTCCTGGCAGTGGAATAAGTTAGTGCCGGCTTCTTGGACTCAGTGTTAGCCGCGATCCACTTCAACACAGACTCTGGTACCTCCTTGTGACCCAGAAATCGGTGCATCCGTTTGGCAGCCGCTAAGGGATCCATTGCCGCATCCTCGTATCTCAAAAACATGTAGCGATTCTTTATATACGGATTTCGCGTTCCAAGCTCAAAGTTCTCCAAGTTAAACTTACAGTGGAGGTAAAGGTATTCTCGGACACTTTGGGAGAGCTGAGTAACTTTCTTTTTTGTCTGAGCAAGGACTCGCGATGCAATCGTGGGTCGTGGGTCTCGTAATAAGTGTATTACTTTCAAGTTTGTGGCCGAATCCTCCATCATCGGCAACAAGACCATGATGTCTCGCACACGAATCGACTTCACCACGATATACCCGCTCTGTAGGCAACTTCCAGTTGCCATGCCTCGGGTTAGCATGCACTTTCCTCTGATGAGGGAGTTGGAGCACAGATCATGCAGTCTCGGTGCAAACTTTGGCAGCAAGGTCTGTCGTCGAGACAACCACTCTAGGTAAAAATCTAGGTGTTTGAAATCACAACGGTACAACCGCCGAAGCATCCCGAGGTACGAGCTCCTTAAAACCTCCCTTTGACCTTCCAGTCCCTCGAGCGTGTTCAAAAGACTCAGCCCTGGTTCGAAGAGATAGAAGATGTCTTGGGAGTTACCTAACAGCTCGCCCACGAAAGAGGAGCCGGTTCGCATACTGGCTAATATGAGTACGCGCACTTTGCTATCGGGGGTCGTTGGTGCAGTGTTTGATGCTTTTGCAGCGAGAGTTTTCTCCATAGAGTCGTATGGGCACTCTCGAGTGCTAGGCTTCCCTGTTTCTCCATGTGATGCGTTTTTCTTCCAAGAATCCACCGATTTTGGAAAAACTACCATATGCCAATCCGCTATACTCAAAATCCATGCACCTGTTACAATTAAAACGATCCACAGGAGAACAAAACGTTGATCGTATGCCATTGCTAGAGTCGCTCAAGTGCGCTGAACCAGGGCCCATTACGCATTCACAGTGACCAGTTGTGGCATTGTGAAACTAAGGAGTTATTACGGTTTATTTTCTAATGCGCAATTTTCCCACATCGGACTTATGTTGTATGTTTCTTCAGGGTGCATGCGCATTAGCATCTATAGTTAACTTTCCAGCACGGCCTGCAGCTGTTTCACAGGCGCCTGATGTTCCTCCTGTTTCCCTACTTAATTAAAGTTAATTAAAGTTCATTTCTGAGCTACTGTTTGCTCATTCACCTCTGGCAGCAGATTTAAAACCAGCATTTCGTTTGCTTCTTTTTGAGATTCAAGATGACTGTTCACGTGCCCAATAAAACGGTAGACCTACGTGGCGTCAATCGTTTTGGAATTTGAAAAACAAATTGTGTCTTCACACATGTACACACGCAACACCTTTTGAGTGTAGACCTGGTATTCGTGACGCACAAAAAATATGACTTCATGTACTGGGTCACAAGCTTCAGTTTTAGAATTTATTTTTTCTCTTCAACATTTTTTGCCAAGCTGTTTGCTTAGACCTAAGCTTCCTGCACGGCGTCAAGGGCGTGACAAAGACATGAATTTTAGAATCACTACATGTATTTTGCAAATTTGGCTCATCTCTTGACAATTTTGGGTGATGCTATATTTTTTTACACCCAACGACTGTAACTTACCACTCCCGGCAACGGCACACGTACGATTCTGCCAGGAGCCGGGTATCATATTAGATTTTGATGGTATGCCCGGCTACCCTTTTCTGAGGCCCAGCAGCTCTTTATAGTTAAAAAAATAAAAAATAAAAAAATATATAATTGTGGCACAGAGACAAAGGTGGATCAAGAACCAAATTTCCGGGAAACCCAGTATATGGGGACCCCCCAAAAATGATTTTTTTTTAAATGTAAACTTTGCAGCTTAAGTTCACACTTGTGCGCATTTTGTGACTCGCGCTGGTGAGAGAGGGAACTCAAATAGAGCAAGAAATGCCTTGCTCTGCGTTTGTTTTATATCTAACACTTCATCTTTGGTTCCTTTTTTGGATCGGGAGGGGCATGGCTGCTTTGCCCGCCGTCACACATAGACCCAAAAAAGTAACAGGCCTATGAATGTACTAGTATACCTAATAGTGATAGAGACATCACAGCTCAGTGCACGGATCCCATGTCCATGGTCAAACCAGAGAGTGTGCCAATACAGTGGCCAAGTTCATCAGAAAATGTCTTCATTCAATGTAGTTATGGAAACCTGAAGAAGCATAATGTGCTGTTTCGCTGATCTTCCCACGGCGAGGAGAAACCTGCCGGCGGGGGGCGAGAGCAAAGCTTTTTTCGGTCCTTCCTATGCTTCCGTATGATATTACTAATCAAACTTCTCCAACTTTGTTTTAGAACCTTCAATGACCCCTTGAAGTAGCGCCCTCTGGAGCTCAGTCACGCGGGAAAATTGATGAAGTAAGTTGGACCAAACATTAACAATATTAGTTGGATCATGGTTCATTGGTTGACATCGTTTAGTAACTCTTTCGAATTTGCAGGTCATATTTTTAGAAGAATCTTTCCTTCCCGTCTGGTAACGTAAAAGTTTCAGTAAGTACTTTTAGGGTGGAGGTTTTTCTTTATGGTGTACAGTATCTGATGTCAAACTGTCATTGACTGCTAAAACATTTTGAGGAAATACTCAAATACGGCCTAGTACTAGTAGTAGGACCTTAGCCACACTAGTGTGGCACGGACTCTCAATCCCGATCGGGAGTGACAGTCCGTGCCACACTACTAGTGGGGCTACAAGGACCTAGGCCTAGTTCCAGTTTTCCACATGCCGCCTAAACGGCCTATGTGCAACGGACATGACAGACAACACTTGGGCAGTTGTTGGAGGAGGTAGCTGGAGGTTACTGTAGCATATAATATCTACTAGTACTACTCACTCATCCTCTTGGTATACGAAGGATTACTTTTTCATCGGGCATGTCCTTTTTGCGGCCCAAAAGCTTCCTGAATGATTTTATCGCGAGTCACAACCCCCGCTGTCATCTGGTCGATGGTATGATGGTCGTCCGTGTACACACGTTAGCCCCGACTACTAAGTGTTTTCGAAGTAGGGCTTAGGCCTAAATGCTTCAGACTTTTCTCAGCTAAATTTCACGGTTTATATTGTTATCCCTTTCTGATGGAATGGTTTTAACTTTTTAGGCCTAACCCTAACCACTGCTAACCCCCAAGGGTTGCTGGCCCTAACCTTCCCCATTCACACACATTCATCATTCACACATGGGACAGAATTACACACTTTACTACTGTTTAATTCTGTGTGGTTGGGGAAGGTTAGGGTTAAAGGAAAATTAGTGTTGTCTGTATGTGGAACTCTTTCCCTTTTTAAAATAGGCCTGCAAGAAATTAGAAAAATACTGCAATCAGTATGCTGCAGACTTCTTGTTCTTGCATGCATAGTAATATGTAACAATGTCATGATAGTACATGCACACGTGATTTATGACTGACAGTGCGGCTTCATAATTGATGCGGCAAGCTATGGTTGAACCACATTTTTGTGGGTCAAAGGTAGACGCGGTCGCTATGGATACCGTGTCCAGAATAGCCCATTGCACCGCACAGTTGTGCTTTGACGTAACATGCTCCATTCAGCAAAAAAGCAAAAAACACTGCACAGAAAAATTGAGAATGACAATTTTTTAAATAAAAGATTTGGTGGTGAAGCAGTAGTTAAATCTGCCAGGCCCGGGGAAATATACACTGTCAAGTTTAAATGCCATCTTTTTCTTTCACCAGTAACCCGGGTGGTTGTCATATTTGTTTTCTCTTCGAATGGCGCATTCAAAGAAGCAGAAATTATCACAACTTCCATCTGAAGAGGATGATGGGTCTATTCAAGAAACCACACAACTGCAACACACCACAGTGGCAACCCCTGAGATAGATGTCAGCCTCGTTGATCGAATGAAAAAGCGTTTCAGTACCCGAAACCCCACAGCATCAGATACCAACGCTGCTGATGCCAGCAGCACCAATACTGAGCTTGAAACGTCATCGACGGCCTCAAGTCAATATCTGACGACAGGGGAGGAAGGACAACAGAAAGGTACTTCCAAGAGGAATTCGCTGGGTCGGAAAGTGGTCCAAATTGACAAGGTGTTCTCACCCGAGGCGAGCTCCGGCAGGGTATTCCAAAGTCCGACCAGGTTTCCCAGGAGAGAGTCAGGCTTGGCGGCCTTGTCCACCATGCTCACGTCAGCTAGCAGTGAGTCTGACGATGCTACACAGACAGGGACAAGGGGTTCTGCCAGCAAAACGAGAGGTAAAGCAAAAAGGCACCGGGGAAATGACCAAGGAGAGGAAAGGAACTCGCAGTCTTCCAGTGAGAAATCAGCAGATGATCCAGATCAAAGGTACATGTAGGCATGGCAGTCTTGATATCCTTCCTTCAGATGCGCTTCATGATTATAGTTATTAGCAAGATACGTGGAATGAACTCCCGGCAACACACTCGTGAATTGCCCCTATTGGAGGGTAAAGGTTGGATCAGTCTCCTCAACGAAGACTCCATCCCAGAATTGCAATGTGCATGTTTGTTGGGACAGGCAATTCTCGACAAGATAATTGTCCAACAGATGAGCCAAACTCGCTAAAAGAAACCTAGCCCCAATACTGTAGTGCTGTTTAATAGTAGAGAGCATGTATGTATGTATTTATTCTTACAAACATCTGCAGGGAATTTTTCGTAAGAAAGAGCACATCTTCACGGGTAGAACTTCTGTAATATGGAACCCCATGTCATCAAAGCTAAAAAGCTGGGTCTTGATGGAGTGAGTTTTGAGTTCCAAAATGTTTTCTCAAAATCAAGCAAAGAGGTGCGTGTACATTTAAGTTCTCCCCAAGTTTCGTCTCCAGCTTTTCTTTTCCTTTCATTAATTTCCAGGATTCTCTCCTCATACCCAAGTGAGTGGCCAGGCCCAGCAGATGAAGGAAGTGAGGAAATGGCTGAAAGGTAATACGAGAGGCAAATACGTACCTTGAATGAAGATTTCAAAACGAGCACTCAATATTGTGTCAATAAATCATTCCTTCATAGATACAGTTTGGGTTAGAGTTTCTAGATGTGAAGATTATCGACCCTGATGTCATGGAAGATCGGAGGTTTAAACTTCCATTTCTTTTACTTGCTTGCACTCTGCACAAAAACCAAAACAAGTGAAACACTCCCACAGCATTCCTCTGTGAGAGGACCTACCCCTTGTTAGCTATTAAAGCCCTCAAATGTCACAATATTTTACATTTCATTGTTATTACCTCAACCTCTCTGCTGGACGTTTTGTGAATTTTTCTCCACCCCACAATCTCACCCTCTCTCCCCTCCTCAAAAATCTGACTGGAAAAGGTTCTTCAAGCACTAAAATAAAAGACGATACACATTCTAGGAAATACGTATACAGTGAAGGAATTTAATTGGGAAAGGCGTATGAAATAGTGTCATCTCTTGTCAATCTTTAACCCTTCAAATGCTGCCCACCCTAATCTCTCCCCCCTCCCCTCTGTCGGGTCTACTGGAATTATATAGTTGTTATTTTGTCTCTTTTTGACAGATATGCAGCTCTCCGAGCGAGACTGTTTACCCTGAGTGGATCGCTGTCGGTTGCCAAGCAGCAGTGTGAACAGTACAAGGTAGGCCGGGAAATATTTACAAAGACAACCGGTTATTGTCACAGGCATAAGCATCCCTAGAAATTGTTCATAGATGAGCTCAGCTGCCAGTACTCCAAGGTTAAGATTTGTCCGGATTTTTTCTTCAGAGTAATCCAAGTCTGGATTGTTTTGGAAGAAAAGTTGATACGTGACACAAGAAATGGGTATTTAAGGGGTGCCTTCAAGCAAACACAAATGTATACAGTGCTCAGCGGACCCTATGCTGCTGTGTGATCTGCAAAACCTCTGCAGATTAGCTTGTGGGTATTTCATTTCCCTCCAGTGCCACCCCTGGTACGCTCCCATAAGCATTGCGGGTATTGTCTGTGCACAGTGAATGCGTACAAAGGCAGGGTTCCAGTCTAATGGGAGTCTAGCCAGAAAGAATATCAAGAAGTGTCTCATTTCATGACTCGGGCATGAGTTTGCTCACTCTCTCGAAATCACTCTGCATTTACCTCCTGTGGTTACAGCATTGCTAACCTTAAATCGTATTCATCAAATGAATCTTCAAAGGAGTTCTACTGAAGCATTTCAACACTGTCTCTGTGCATTTTTGAATTTCGCTTCAGGCCCTTGCTGATGCTTTGCAGGGAATCAACACAAATCTGGAGAAATGCTCATCAGAGGACTTACAGGAAGAGGTGAAAAGAACAGGAGACCTAGGTTAGTAGTATTGATGTACCCTACCATGGTGCGGTCCCTAAAGTGGCGCACTTTGATTTTTGGCCTCTAGTGCCTTGCCAGAACAATATTTTTGCCTTAAATTTTATTCTAAATTAAATTCCATCAAACTCCCAATATTCTGATTCAAAAATCTCAATATTACTCACCTGTTTCAAAGGTCCGATTACATTTGACGGTATTTTGGCTTGATTTTCCCATTTGTCCCGAAGTGCAAATGAGCTCTTTTAAATTCCGCCCGAAAAGTGGAAACAATTTTCTAACAAACTCGTGGTAAGTTTATAGAAGTGGAAGTAACATTAAACAATTTATTAGAATTGAATAACTTTAGAGAACTGCTCAAACCTTTATTTTGGATTCGCTGAGATCTGTCTCAAGTGCACCTTGTGAGGGAACAGTCAGCTGCATTTTTGCCCAGTTTCTTGACGCTGCTGTTTTTGAATTTCAAACGAAATTTCATCGTGTTGAACGTTGCTCACAAAGGTTCAATACCATGTCTCCTGAAGGTTCTAGAGTACCGAAGTGTGACGTCACTGTGAACCAGAAAGTGCAGTGCAAAGAAATGGAGTACGCGCGCGTGTTGGTTCACGCGCTGGTTGTCACGCTATTGCCTTTTACACACTAATTGTGCGCGTGACATATTCACTTCGGTACTCTGTAGTACCAGTATTTAACCCAAGGAATTTGAGGTTTGTTCAATGACAGGTTTGGCAACACCTGTGTGAGGAAAATCAAGTGAATGCGAAAGCGCACTGTGTTGGGGGCTCCACAATATTGACTAGTGAAAAATATGACTTTGGACTAAACAAAATTTGTTCTGGTTTTTCGTGGCAGGCCTAGAAAAATAAACATTTACTGAATAAGCTGCCTCAACCCTCTTCCAACAGTGAGCCTTCTTTGTACCCTTTCTCGGCATATTCCTCGGCAGAAGTAACTGTGTTTTTTGAAGCTTTGATGACTGGTATATGTATACAGGGAGATGTAGTTTGTATGTACACTATGGAAATAATTTCCTTGAGGAAAATGGGTTGGCTCTCAGAAGAGTCAGTCGGGAGAAAGGTTTCGACGTTTCAAACAATGTGCTCTGTGAAGTTTTACTGAGCATGACTAAAACATGCAGTTCGGTGTGTTGAAACCTTTCCCATGACCGGCTCATCTCACAACTGACACCTGTTCTGAAGAGAGTTTGTTTCCAGTGTGCTTGCTAACAAGACCTCCCTGTAAGCCAATATTAGATTACTAAAAGCTGAAATATTTCTCCTAACTTAAAACATCCATTTCTGGGCTTTTGATGCAGCGTTAATTTCTGTTTTGTGCGATTTTTTTTTTTTAACTAATGTTTGAGTTTTGACGCTCCTGATATTCCAGTGTCAAAGATACAGCAGAAGTTGGAGAGCCGAGATCTGACGAGAGCAAGCCAAGAGACCTCAGGTGACAGTAACCGCAACAACGGTGACAGCGCCCCTCCAACCAGTCCAGCACACCCACCCACAGATCACGCCGCCCTCGTGAAAGTTTTGTTTAAAGCTGCGGCCACTGTCGATTCCCCTTGAATCGGCCCCTGCATGTCAGTGGCGCAACGAGGCTGACATTTCTTGGGGGAGGGGGGGGGACACTGAAAGCCAATAAACTGTAGCATACACAATGGCTGTGAACACCTCAAGATATAAAATGTGAGTTGCCAACGGTGTTTGCTTGGCCACAGTAAGTGCATCAGTGGTCTTGTTGTTCACTTTTTATGAGAAACTGGCGGTAAAAGAACTGTCTATTTTCTACATGAAATGTCAGGGTTTTACATGTATGCCTCATAACATGGATAATCTCATGCCTGTAGAATTGTTTTGGAGAACAATTGTTAATCAAATGCCAATGACAAAGTCTGTAATATTTCTGTACATATAGACTAATCCGATTAGACGCCATAACTGCGGTAGCACCACACTCACACGCACATTCTTCAGCTTGACGCGCGCGTGCATTTGGCAAATCACGACACCCTGTTGGTCGAAGAGGCATGTAACGCGCATATACCACCTGTCCAGGAGCGTTGTGCCACCGCAGTAATGGCTTCTAATTCTGCTGGTCGAATTACGCTATAATTTTTTTTTTCTTGTAGGGAACCGCACCTGAGTAAGGGCACCCTCATCCTTTGCAAAATTTCTTTTGCGTATGCATGTCACAGAGGTAATTAACATAATGTTTTTTTCCTTTTTCGGCCCTTCCCGTGCACGCGGTGTCAAGGTGGTCTCTTGGTTGTAGGGTCTCAAATGTAGAACCGTACTCTCTGCATTTTGCTTCTATTAATTTGCAGGGAGCATGGCTTCGGCCATGTGGGAGAGTGTCAATGCTAGAAAACCCTAGTAAGTAATTATTATCGCATATGAATATTTCACACGATTTTCGGTTGGAGAAATTTGTAAGATTCCAGGCGTGTCAAGGTGGTGACTCTGTTCTGTGTTGCAACTGTATAATGTGCCGTACTGTATTGTTCAGCCAGCTGTGTTAGCCATGTGGTAACCTTTGACCATCACATCGGTTGTATTATTATTCACGGCGCTGTTTAGCCATTACACTGTACCTACTTTTTCATATTTAATCAACTGTAGTTCTGGAGTTAGACATCGTTTAATGTTCACTTGTTCCCTTAGAATTAGGCGACTGTTCCTCCTTCCTCTCTGTTCCAACTGTCGTGGGGCTGGTCCGCTACATTATCTTGTGAAAGCATGTAAATCTTTTTTTTGTAGTTCTTTAAGCTGTGACATGAGGTGCGACGTCCAAATATGCAAGTACGGATTTTAAGGTCATAATGTGATGTAATTCAGGATGCCGGACATGTCAGTGATCTCAAACTTGGTAAAAAAATCCCAATACCTTGTCCTGACCGAAAGAAGAGAATCATCTAATTAGTTTTTCAATCTCGAATAATTTATCTATATTAAAGCAAACAGCAGACTAGCTACTTTCTTTTACCCCCCCTTTTTATAATAAGAATCCCACAAAATCCTTTGCTGCAGAAGGCGATGGGAGATTCTTTGTATTTGGTACTAGTTGTGGCTTCTACCTGTTTTGCTGAATTGCCCTACTCCTTCCTAAAGATGGCATATTCGGAGCAATCTGGGATAAGTAGGGTTAATCACATTGACCTGTCTGTTTATTTTACATACTCCACAAATCAAAAACTCTATGCAGTCACTGTAGTTTGCTGAAAAGTTACTTCGTCGACAAACATCTGAAGAGAGTATTATTTGCCCACAATAAAGTTCCCTTCTGGAATTAATTGTATATTCACTCCTGATATTGGATTTATGTATACTGGATGATTTGTTCAAAAATAAACAAATCTTGAAAATGAACTGGAGCACACAAGGAGCTATATTATTAAAGTTTGGCGTGGAAACCGTGTTTCAACCATTAATAACCAAGTTATACTCCAAAGACGGTGTTTCATCACGCCGTTTTCATGCACAGCACCCAGTGCAATACGGAATGGTCAGTACTTGCATTTGATATTTTCTTAAGTTTTGAGAAATGGCAGGTAAATTTGGTGGTGTTCTATTTGAGTTCGAAAAGAGACATATTCTTGACCAAGTAACTTGGGTGACTTTTTTCCCTTGTCCCTTTTTGTAACTGGAATGCTGATATAAGAAACCTATATATCACTAAACCTTACCCTAACCACAATCCCAACCCTAACCCTTGCCCTATCCCTACCTGTAACCCCAACCCTGTCCCTAACCCCAACCCTATTATCC